TACATCTCTAGCTCGTGTCGAGACGAATTGAAATGTAATTATTAACCACGTGCACGTTCATGCAGTAAGCGATAATCCACACCTATTCTGTGTCAGTTAGTTATACCACCTGGTTGCCTACACATCGGTAGGTGGAAAGTCAACTTCTTAAATCGATAGGCTGCAGATCCACTCGCAGTTTGTGTACTGATCGATAGGCTGTAAATACTGTGTGTACACTAATAACTGATTCACTAGGAGTACTTATTTATAACATGAACTCACCCTTCACTTCAATACAAAGTAATGCGAAAATCCCAATTAAGACATTTCGGCAAACAACCATTATTTGTTTTGGACTACTGAAATCTCCTGGCCATCGAGTCGCATTACAGATCCTCAATGTGTATCTGAAGAACAGCGCAACGCCCAGTAAAGCCAAGAAAATACATAATACACAGATTGCCAATGTTACTTAAAATATAAATGAATTTGGACTTAGATATATATATCAGTGTTCTTGGATATTATACATGATCAGTTCCACTATTTGAGATGGCCACTATTTGGCAGACTTTGTATCTCTATTGGAAGATGATTGAAGGTGAAATGAAAATCTCTGTCGCGGCAGGATTCAAACGGTGACCTCCCGTGTTCTACCAACTGACCCACAATACCTGACAGCTGATCACATCTTGGTTTCATTTCAGTCACCAAGGATTTTGCCCGGCTGCCAGGCGAGTTCGTGACGCGTTACTAAGCATTCAAAGTATTTTACACTGGCTGGCCACCCAGAACTTCCAATTGTAAATCCAAATCAACCTGAATTAGAGAGGCGGACAATTTGAGACAGACTTGGCTTGAAATATTTATATTATCTATACTGGGTGGTGTCTGAAGCAATTGTAACGCATCAAGAACTTGTATAGCAGTTGGGTCTCGTAACTCAGTCGGTAAAGCCATGGGTTGATAAGGCGGAGGTCTCTGGTTCAAATCCTGCAGCAGCCCAGATTTTCACTTTACACTCATATATATATATATGGTTTTGATATGCCAGAGACGGTTTGAAGTGACCACATAAGTATATTAATAGTAGAAAAGATGGCGTAAACTGTTCCTAGCATCCCATCTTAAGCATTCCTATTTCACTCCTTCGCATCTGTTTGCCTAACAACATATCCATTCAATCACATCTATAGATAAGTACCACTTCTCAGTGATATCGACTATAAGTAATAATTAAATGCAGGAAGTTTTTGTTAGATTTCATTTAAGTTTTTACCTCACATTATCCACCTAAGCGATTCATGCTTAGAAATAATTGATTGTTTCGAAATTTTCGGACTTTTCTGTTTCACAGGGTTGAATTTTTCAGAAATTCTTGTTACAAAAATAATATTGCAGAAATTACTCATGTTTGTACAATGAAACTGAAGTTTTACGTGGAAAACATGACTGAAATTGTTCAGTCTGTATAATGAAATCAAAAATGTCAGGTAGACACAGCGTACTTAATTTTGGTTTTTACACACGCAAAAGAAATATTAAGCAACATATGTGGTTTTCATTTTTCCAAACCTTATAAACCTCAACATAGGCTTTTATCAACTTATCATAAAATGGAGTCTTTCAGTAACAAGTATAATAAACAGGCTGATTAACTATTGTTCAAAGGTAGTCCATACGTGAATAGGACTGGGATTAAACACAGCGATGTACGGCATAAATGTTAACACTATGTACTGGAAATGTAGAAAGGAGTACTTCTTATACTATTCGCTTACAGCTAACAGTAATGTATCAGTTTCAATTTCCCTATAGTAATGAAACCTTTGTCGGGCTTAGATTTTTTCAACGGAAGTAATTTATCATGCACACTCCATCTCATACGTCACATCCCGGTGAATTAATCTGATTAGTTGAGGTAACAACGCAGTTATTGTTAAGACTCAAAAGATCTAGATAAGCATGCAAGCGACACTTTGAAAAAGATTTTCAAGTTAGTCTCACATCCCAGCTCATTTCTGACCACCACATACCCAGTTATACATTACCTTATAGGGAGAAGATAAAACCCATAAGCATTCCATTTTAGTTGATGTATTAAAAATATCAAATATCAGAACATTAGTATTTGTTAGGTTACGTTTCTGTCACAGTTTATTGTTCATAGTCATATCAAGATAACTCCATAACTTTGAAATATGGTTTATATAATTAGGATTTTCAACCCTCCTTTGTAAAATAGGTAGCAGGATTCTTCATATTTGTCAAGAACAGGTGCTGAGTCATTCCTATTGTATGTGTTCGGTGTTGCTTCAAAGGTTTGGTTATCAATCTCTCCTTCTGCCGCTTCCCTAAGTTAGTTTTAAGGATTTTCACCCCATCGCAACCCATCGTGGAGTTGTGTGTAACTCATGCATAGCTATTACCAAGCCTTTTTCTAGGCTCCTTATCTCACTAGGGTTAGTGATCACGTACCTGAGACTTCTCTTCATGAGTACAATGGCTTGAATATAAGGTTATTAGGATATAAAAATATAGCCAGCAGAGGCACTGAAGCCTCAAAAACTGACTAATGTGTTACTGTGCATAGAAATAAAGTTCTCAGAAAGCATTTGGTATAGAATCGTTTGTTACTGAGATAAAGTTGCTATCTGCTTGTCTGGGCATGGTCAGACATTTTCCAAGGACTCTGTAATTTTGAGAAATAGTTTTTTAGTGTAAGTTTTAGAAAACCTAATCATTTCTGAAAAGAATTAGGTTTGTGACATTATTCAATAGCTGATGACCATTTGGTAAAGTTCAAGCAACTTAAATCATAGCTTCAAAATTCATCAGTTTTAATGTGCTCTTCATCATCTAAATGAAAAGTCGAACATAAAGTGAGTGACAACTGTGAGAAGAGCTTCTTCTCGGCAGTTATTATCTGAAATTGTGCAATAGTATTCTAACATCATAAATGCATAACAATCTATTATTGAGTAACAGGGTAGGGCTGGATCATCAAGGTAGCATTTGACACTAGAGTTAAAAGTGGTTGCAAACGAGGGAAAGGAGCTGAATAATAATATCTAGGCTGAGTAACTGGCCTCATAGTTGGCTTGGCTGACTGCACGGGTTCAGTGGGTTTGGTCCTTCACAAGGTGGAGTCATGGGTGCGCAGTGCTGAGTCCCATACTAGAACGAAACAGCTGTGCAATGCTTCATCAATTTTCTGCGTAAATTGATGTTGAACATGAACTAGACACTAATTGTACATTTTAGAAATAGTTCTTTTCAATTCATTATAGGAATACTAGTGTCTAACTTTTTCATTTAGTAATTATTTATAAATATAATACAGCTTTCCAATAAACGAATGTAAAACATTTTGTAGACATAATCAACTGTGTTCATAATTATAAATCCAGCCATTTTGAAAGCTATTTCCAAACAGCATGATCCACGTTGATATTTCTCTCAGCTGGATAGATTTTCAGTTTTCCAACTGCTGTCATCCTGATAGATGAAATCTACAGATTGGGGTTTCTAACTGCGTAAGTTATTCAGTAGTATATTTCGTGACTTGATAATACCTTTGAGTCAAATATCCCATGATAACCTTTTTGATACCGAAGTTAGGCATTTGGAAAAATGCCCAACTGTGTACAATGTCAAAGTAAACCTTGAGGTCTGTATACAATTTACAAATTAATCATCCTAGTTAAGGTATGCCAGTTCTAAATTATTTAGCCAGATTCGGGTGATCTGAATAATTCAGCCCCGTGAGCTGAATCTGTTAGGGTACATCACTAATAAGCTCGCCTTAAAAGGAGCGAAAGGATCACTGTGATATGACTGACGGAATCCGCAGACCAACCTCAGCAGCTTCTGACTACTCATGTAGTTTAGTAGTATATTACAATCTCAAACCCCTTATCAAGTCTAGTGATGACATCTTTACTTATTTTGGTTGTTTTGATGACCTGATGATATGCTCTGGAGTCACAGTTTTATACTGAATACAGCAGTCTACTGAACTTGATTCACATCTTTCCTAATCGGCATCCGACTATGCAGCCAAATCGGAACTGTCTACCAAAACGTCTTCAAACCGCATATTTGCATTTATTTGAATAATCTCTATACGAGTATCCACAAATTTAATTTTGAAAGATAGCGATAATAATGGCAACTTATCAAGAAACACGTAATGATAATAACTGTGAAAGTTCCAGTCTAAATTCGCAAGGAGTTTACATCGAGGAAGTACTTTGTTTAATACGTGCATGGAAGATGCTGGTTTTATGCTTCAGTCTATCCTCCTTGTTCCAGTCGAAATAGAGTTCCCGCGATAATTCCAAGCACTGCTTAGGACCAGGTTAAAGCTAATCCAACTAAGAATTAATATGGTGCATACAGTCGTTTTATAATTTTAGAAAGAAGAAATGTTGCTGAGTCTTATAGATTTAGTCGATGCTGGTCAGCATATTGATTTTAACTTGTTTTCTGTTGTATAAAAAAGACAGCAATAATTAAAATAAGTGTATTTAGAAGCATTGGCTTCAGTTATAATTACCAACTCGGGTGATATCTACAAAATGTCATGATATTTAATCATTTCACATGTTTGTGTTGTGTTGTGTAGGAGTTTATATTTCTTCCCTAGCCTTACAATGTCTAACTACCTATTTTGCCTTGCTATTGTCCTACGACGCTCATCGTGCACAATATCGATTACGAGATTCAGACCAATCCCCTCATTTGCACATGTTAACACACATATAACCACACAAATATTGGAACAAACTCCAATCTTTCATTCCTCCTTTGGTTTATATTTAGTAAGAATAAACGGCCTGTATAAAACCTCCCCTGAACACACACACACACAAACTTGCAATAGTTTACTTCATAGAGGGTGGATCCACATGTCTCGAATTTCTTTGTGTATCTTCCAAGCAGAATCTCATCATTAGATTGGCTGACTGAAAAACTCTACTTCATTTGGACTAGTGGGCAAAATAGTAATTGTTTATACATAAATTTCGGATCTTATTTTCAGTTAACGATTACACGTTCATTGTGAAACCGATCAACAGTCATATCATGTCAACTGTCGCTATGCCAGCAACTACTTATCAAACATCTGCTACCGGAAATCCTCCTCAAATTTTAGGTCCATTGTCTGGTGGTGGTGAAGTACCAGAAGGTGAACCTGTTCACTTGGAACTGAGGATTGCACCTCCTGGAGATTTACAAGTGCAATGGTTCAAAGATGGTGTTGCATTGAGTGCCGGTGAGTAGTTATCTAGTGAAACATTATTTTGTCAATATTATCTTAAAATACTTTGTTATGGTGTAGTGACAGATGAACTTGTTCATGTATTTTCATCCTTCCATTGATACTTTTGATATGAAAAAGATGCTCGTTTTCTCTTGGAATTTGTTTTTGAAGGTTACTGTATACAATAACTGTATTGAAAACGAATTTACGGTGATCAAACTTTTAAGTGATGGCTTCCTTCACTTGAACTTCATTGGGAATAACAACAGTTCTGATATCATTGGAAGAAAGCGCCAGACTTGAAGATATCGTCAGTGTGGTATTTGATATTGCATAACATAAGTATTGAAGTTATCAGGTGAAAACAGTGTAACAGTGTTCTGATATCGTTGTCCAAAATCAGATTTGTACTTCTCTGTAGTATCAACTTTTTGAGTTCCTGATACAATATCGACAATGCTAAGAATTCAACTAAATGTCCGAATGAATTTCGGCATAGTATTTCAAAACTACATAACTAACTAATTTCTATACTAATTACAAATAATCAGGTTGGCTTAGAAGAATAAAATTTACATAGGAAAAGCCAAGGGTTACCCTGAATTTTATTTAAATATTCACTGAATTCTTTGTTGACAGAAATAAAAACCCTTCAATAGGAGCATTATGCCTCTGGAAAGCGAATTGGTTTAAATGTGAGGAAGAGTGAAGAACGGTGTAAATGCTGAACATTTGGTGGGATTAAGAAACATCTCACCACCGGAAATCTTAAAATAGGTCCACATATCAGCCAGTTGTAATGATAGACGCTGAAAACAACGAAACAGTGATCCTACAGTGCACAGGAACCCAGAAGATGAATAAATTTTTGTGATACATTATGAATCTAACCGACAGACGCAATACCTACCACAGTTCAACATGTTATGGACTAAGTCCTAGTACAGTGTTAAAAAATAGATTTCATCTCCTAGATAAGGAAGAAAGCAAAAAAGTAGTTTTGAATAGATCTTCATGAAGAACAAAGTGAATACTAATACAGTGAATACAAGTACCTTGACAGTTATCAAGACCTAAAACAAATCTATCCATAAACTGACTGAGAATACTGAGCAACTGTATTTCGTTAACATAAAGACAAACACACAAAGAGAAAACTAGCGTATAAGTATTATTCTAACCACTAGAATTTAGGCTATCTCATGTTGTCAATAAAATTTTCAGTAAAATCAATCACTAAGCAGAGAGTAGATGTTTCATCACTGCAACGTGTGATATCAGTAGCACTAACTCCTTTGCAAATAACACCCACGAGTAATCACCACGGCCCTGAGAATACCATACAAATATCACTCCAACCTATTATTGTTATTGTAGGTGTTTCGTTTACATCATCTAGAAGCCACTACTTCTAGCTGTAATGTGAATCAAGGGAATCCATTTTCATCATAGTTGCTGTACTACCTACACAGACTCATATTTCTCTCCTAACTGAAACTAGCCAAAATCCGACGAAAGTAGTGACTGGTTTTATTCAGTTAACAAACAGTACACTTTAACCTAACTCTGTCGTTATATACAAGTAATGATTGCTCTAAGCCCATCGGTGAAATATCTGGTTAACTTTACTTCATATCTCTTACTAACAATTTACTGAAGTCCAACATTTCTGAATTATCACCCATAATGCATTGACAACGGTTGGTGCAAGTGACTAACTCATAAAATAACAGAGTCATAGGAATCTAGGTCCCGCACAATGACAGGATTCCACTGCATCGTAGACACAGTAGTCTGTTGTAATGTAGGGATTATGCAGAAAATCTTAAATTTTAGAATACAGGGCACATCATTTATCTTAACTTACGTCCGGTGAAGACGAAGGTTAACCAATTTTTGGGCTTGCTGAAACAAAATGACAGCTAAACTACAAGGCTGAACAACTGCACAAATTACTGAAGTAAAGATAAGCTTTACTGCACTAGCCATTCGATTTATTAAACTCATATAAAGAGCTAAAGAATGAGTTTGATTCAAGACGGAAACTTTTGAAACACCTAATTGAAGACGTTTCATCCAAAATTCATCACTGATAAATACTTGGTGATACCTAACAAGGGTAGAAAATGTGCAACTATCTTATATGCAAAACAGTACTCTCTGTTGCTCATGCCTCTATCAGTTATTTCTGATTATGGATTATCTGGTCCTCACTTAGCTAACAGAGTAGTTTATTTCGGTCGCTAGAATTAATCAATATGTTTCATTTGAGTAAGGTATTTAACACAAGTGGTTTCAAATTATCTAATGTTTGCTTTGCCTCACCCTGCTAAATTGTAACGTGTACTTTTTGGCGGTAACATTCTTCAAGGTTCTCGATACAATACAATGTGTGAACGTGGTCTGGCTTCACTAGATGTCATCTATACAATTCCAGAGGACAGTGGTACCTATTTTTGTGTCATCTCAAATCCATTTGGTAATGCTCAAAGTGAAGCTGTCCCCGTTAAGTGAGTGACAGATTCATATCCATTCTGTGTTATGCCAGTATATTGGTAGATTTATTGTTTTTACGAATTATGAGCAACAATGCTTGGGAAAGTGAGTGTATGAAAGTAAACACTGGTAACCTGAAGCGTTGAAAATTCTTTCTACTGGTATCCTCATCACAAGCCTGATAGTCAAAAGACTTTGAAGAGTTGAGTGCCTTTCTTCTTGTAATTGCAGATTATACACTTCTCTTCATCTTTCTAACTATTTCTGTGTATTCTAAAAAATAGGTTTTAATCTATTTAGATGGCAGAACGTGTGCTACGTGCTTTCAGCTACGCTTTTCAATTGTTGTTCTGGGTGGGAGGAGGAATATAGTGTCTCACCAGAAAAATTTAGATATGATCGGGTGAAAGCTTTAAACCTGAGTATTGTACTTGCTGATATTAACCATATTTATGATCATTTGGCACTAAAACCATTTTACTTTACTGTGGTACTCACTGTATATAACTTTGTAAATCGGTTTCAGTTATCATCAGTAGTTTATTGGTGAGCGATTTAAGCTATAATTAGCTTCCGCTTGAAATACGCTCATCTTTCTGAAATACAATAATTAAAAAATATGATTAAATAATAAGAAATGAAGCGTGATGAGATGAGCGAATAGTACACTCAAGGAACTTTTCATTTCTTTTACTGTCCCCAGGTACATGTTATGTAATATATATTACACTGGCCAACAGAAGCCAGAAATTCGACTTAAGAAATTCAAATACTTGTTAATCATTTCACTTATCTAGAGCTGACGGTACCAGTTTTATTTTCTAATGGAAGAAAGCCATATGCAGCGTAAGGTACTTGATTCACACTGAACACACAACCAACGTTTTCTGTTTGCTCCAGCAACGTTCAAATTCCCTATGAAAGCTTCAAGTACATGTAACGTACATTGAGGTTTATGAAGATTTTATTTCTATGGTAATATATGTCATGAACTGAAATCAGTTGGAGAACCACTGAAAACCTAGGAGCACTGGACTGCTGTTTCGTCCAAGTGAATGACCCCATCAGGGACCGAACGAAGAACCTTCAGGTATCGTAGTGACCACATTGACCATTCTAATGAGAAGACATGACAAATGAGGTCAATCACTCGGAGGCGAAGTGGAGGTCAAATGAAGACCATGTTCAGTGACAGAGGTAGGAAGTTGTCAGCCTGTGGACTGTGACCCTGTGGCTGGATGGTTATGGCATTTGACACGAGAAATAAAGATCGTGAGTTCAATCTCCGGCTGGATAGTGGGTGCTAACTACGAAGCGGTCCCATACTAGAGAGAAACGTATGTTCAATGCTCCTAGTTTTTAAAGGTTACTCAGATGATGTCAGTCCACGATAAATGCTACATTGAAGTACTTGTGTTGTGACGTCAGTTTGACGTCCTAGGTACTTTTATTTACTTTTTGGAGACTATACACTCTCATATTAGCATTCAAACTTATCAGACGAAAAGATGATAAAGCGTATCAGCAAGTTTTCAACCAGCTACATATATCCGCTACTAAACTAGGATCCTTGTAAACTCACCTTGAATTTGAATTCATAAACACATTTAGTTTGTTACTGTGAATATAGCAAATGACATATTGTTAAGGTCGAACATGCTTCACTTTGAGTTACGCAAATGTGATTACTTAAAAATGGTTAGCCATTTGCAAGACACCGGGAAGAGATAAGAGTCATTTACTTAATGCATGTAAGCCAAACAAGGGAAAATAGGCATAACTTTCAAGAGAAGACGATTCTGATGGCCTTTCATGACAATGCAGAAGTATCTGATGTTAATTATATATTAAGATTGCGAAGTGAAGACAAAAATTGATGTCTTGGAACATAATATTAGCATAGAAGAAGATTTGTCAAAATATCTCACATCTCCAAAATCAAGTACTAATGTTTCTGTGTGCAAAAGACAAGGTGAAAGTTCAGTTTTACTGAACGCAGCCCATTCTTCATTTCATACACTCACCCATACGATGGTTCATTGGTGGTTCAAACTACATCCTAAGTAGTATGCAATGTCTCAGCCTATTTTTATCAATTTTTTTCTACATAGCCATACAAATTATTTGGTTTACATGAATCAGGTTAGTCTAAGCTCGACTCTGAATAAAACAAAAACACGAGAAATTTCAGTAGTTTAATTACTGCACGAACCCATATGCCACAAGAACAGGTTGAAATCTCTGAGGCAACATCACTTCCTTCAAGGTTGCAAAAATGCTTTACTTACGAGTGCCAACAAGTATAGGTTCTTGGTCAAAGGTCCCCTGCCAATTGTTTCTAACCATTTAACAGGACGATAATATGCTTTAAGGCAAAAAGGTCAGAAGACAGAACAACATGGTATGCAAGTTTCGCAAGCCATAGCACTATATAAACTGTTTACACTATCTGTCTCATTATCGACTTCAATTACAAATGTACTATAATGTCCACGAGTATATTAAGGCGAACAAAAACTAAAAGCAACTAAGCAAATGAAAATCACAGAAGTAATTGCTGAAAATTTTACCAATGTCTTCCAGGACTCCACAGTGTTACTTAATAATGATGATAAGCTCACACACCAAAATAGGGATTTATATAAATTCTGAGACTAAACTCTCGCCCTAACAATAATAATTACTGAGTGATAAGCTTCAGATATCAAGAGATTCTAATGATCTAGAAAGTAGGACAGCTGAATATTCAAGCAGTACAGGGGTGTCCACATAGGAGCTGATCTGTCAACGGACGTCAAGCTTTCTAAGTTCATTGCCTAAGGCCTAATATTCCAGAAAAGCTAATAAAAAATAAGCTCAAACTAAAACATTTGGATTTCCAATCTCTATTGTTAACCTAATGTTATCAAAAACAACTTACTTTCCTACTGGAGTTATTCGCATAGTTACTCAAAAGAGAGTTACACCAAAACTTATTTTCAAAGTTCACACCATACGCGTACCAATAATTTTTGAACATTGCCGCATGTTTTGAAGTTGTTAAGATGCATATGCAGGAACTAGTCTCTTCAATCTTGAGATGTACTTCCTCATCTTACGTTAAGTGCTTGAATTAAATAGTACAAACAGTTCATTTGTACACCATTCGTTTTATTTTCTACTTGTAAAATAATTGCACCATTTCTATTGCCTACAAAAAGATGTTTGCCTAATTAACTGTTCAAACTTAAATCATTAAAATTAGTGCAAATGGAATCTTAGGAATGTGGAGAGTCATTAGCCAAACTGAAATATTTCTAAAAATTCCCCTAGTTTTTGAGCTACGCATTCATTGCAAGCATCAAAACAAAAATACCATGATGTTTGGAAATTGAGTTTCCCAAATGTTTACAACGCTTTATATAAACAACCATATATGTTCTACAAAAATTGTTTTAATTTATAACCGAAAGAAGATTGATCTATCTAGTTCAGTACATATGCAGTCTTGTTGGAAAATGCGTATGTATTATGCTAGGCATCCCAGACGATCGATAAAAAACCTAAACTTCGTAATGCATATGTATCTTTAAAAACAAAATAACAAATGTTTACATTGGAAAATAAAACAGCCACATAACTCTATCATGAATCATCATCAGTTTAGGTATGAATGACCTACAAAACAATATTTCAGGTCAGCAAACCAAAGAATTTGTTTTTATAAGATTGTACTTGTCTGAATTCCCATTTTTGTTTGTTAGAAATGTCACACAGGGAAACGGTGAAACGTTTGGGACACAATTTATTGTCCATATTTATATCAGGTATCTCCACAACCTTGAGACAGAGTTTATATACTCCTTATTTTCTCTCCTCCTTTGTGATGACGAGGGTGGTAGAATTTTCTGTATATCTGAGATTCATTTCTGTTGCATGTGTTTGGTGTTGATTCAATAAACAAAGATTCAGTTATCAATCTCTCCCTCCACCCAACGAAGTTACTTTTCAATACTGTCGCTCTGTCCCACCCTACTACGTGACTGTGTGTAATTGCGTGCAAAGCTATAGACTAGCTTTTTTCTAAATTTCTTATCTTACCAATCTTAAGCTGCATTCTTGTGCTCTGTTATTCTAATCGCCTCTGATCAACTACTTTGACCTATGTATTTAAACTTAGAATTATTACAAGGGTTTTGGTAAACCAGATTATTTTGTCCAATCGCTTCAGTAGGATCTTCTAACAGAAAGCTTGTTACTAAACGAGTTTGCTGGTTCAAATGTCACTTTAATCCCAGCCTTGTTGAGAATTCTTCGTTATGCATTTAGCTAAGCCTAATTTAAGTGAGATGATCTGAAGTGTAAATAGCTATCCGAATGAGAAGGTTTTTCATAGACACTAGTCTCTAAACTTCCGTATCGTTTTAGTTTAATCTTGCTATTCAACATTCCTAGCTCACCTTCATCACTTTCTAAGTGACGGGTAAACTGGATTGCATTCACTACTGAATTTATATATGCCAAGGACCTATTGAAGTTTTCCGATTTCATTACTGTAAACGTATCACCTACATACCATGTGCACATATATATATATCTTCTATACGTCTACATATCTGTACCTGTCTCAGATATATGGAAAGTTCTACTACCCTTGTCATGAAGACGGGGAGAAAGTTAAGACTATATAAACTGCGTTTCAAAATTAAGACATTTAGTGAAAGGTTTTCCTTTACTGCAGTTCACAGTTGACGTTGACGTTTAACAAATACTACTAAGGGATAAGTATCTACTTCTTTATATTTCCTCTTTATAACTCATTATCACACAGTATTACAGTTTGTGTCACTGTGATCCTTCAGGCTGTGTACTCAGTTACTAACGCTTTTGAAAACGAAGCGATTATTTGTAACCATAAATAATGTCGGTTTAAATTAGAAGTTGAGCTGGTAGGCATACATATAATAAATGTGAAAACCTGTCAAGACAACATAAACCTTACAGGATTTGTGAGTAAATTAAGCTGAAAATGGGTTTAGAGGTAAAGAAAAACCTTTCGCTTACCTAGTATTTTCCAGCTGCTCATTAAATAACATCGGTGTATCATATAGAAATGCATACACCGTAAATCTGGTAACATTCTTTTTTATTACCACAATATATTGATTTCTGATTAACAGTATGGTTTTAGAGCGGTATATAAACGTGATATTATCTGTCTGTCATCATTTGGATATTGTATGCATGAAACATGTAGCTTTGAGATGTATTTTTAAAGCTGAATGACACCTTATGTGAAATGATATTCAAGACTTGTCAGCAGCTTCGTCAATAAACTCAGTTATCTGTATTAGTCTCAGAAGTGGCATCAATCCCGTCAAGTTTGCAGAGACGTCTTGCCAACAAGGGCCTAAAAGTATGAAACCTAGGTCAAAAGGCTTCCTGCTGATCGCCTCTATCCAACCCATATCCATCTTACGATGATGAGTCTCCTAGCTTCGTGGTCACATTCCAAGATGATCAACAGATTTTGATCAGCACTTAGGACTAGACAACATGAAGTTGTTTATCCTACAGTGACCAGTGTATATTAAAAACCTCTACAGGTGCATAAAAACTATTTGAAAACAGTGTTCAACTGCTCACGGGATGACTAAGGAAAAATTTGGAAGGAATAACTACTTATAGTATCCTAATTGTGTGGATAAACAATAAAACTATTTAAAAATCCTGAGCTACCAGAAGATTTTACTAAGCTTTTCGAATAGATATGACCAAAATGTACCTCAAAAATATACTACCTTATGCAGAATAAATAAAGTGAATGAGATATGCCAGTCTGCGCCGATATATATGTTGGTCATCACTGAATATATGTTATCCCTTTAAAGCTCGACAAAACAGAATCATTTATACAGTAAGGCCATGGGTAAGCAGGAACTGGCTATTTAAATGAAATAAGTACAGGGAAAATACAAAATCTGAATAGCACCCGTTCCAAGGGAGCTCGCACCAATGTTTTCAGTATTACTTTGGGGTTAGGAGTAATGAGCGCTAGGTTAGAGCTTAAGTAGTAAGACTGACGCCAAGACAGAAGTGCACACAGCTGACGGGTAATCAGTATGGCGAAACTGCAGACTTAGATTTCAGTATCAAGGCTACCATGAGACATAAAGACAGTAACTAACTTCAATGTACAAAACTAACTGATTTACATTACCATAATATTGAATCTTTTAAGTATCAGATTGTACATAAAGAGACCAGACACCATTTTAGCTTCATGATGTCAGTTGCCACCGGTAGTAGAGAGAATTCGAACTCGAGAAATTTGGACAAAGTTGGACATTATCCCACCAACTTTCTTAAGTACGCTTAGGAGAAAGAATAGTAAATTGAGTGTAAATGTGATATATAACCATGTACACAAAAATTAGTTTGAGAGTGCACCAAAGCCTAATTGTTCTCGATAAAGCAACGGAAACTACTCATTAGTTAAATAAACAGTAACTAATAAGGTCCATCAATTAGTAGGGAACAGCTCTCAAAGTCTCCAGAGGTTACAGTGGTTCTGCAACCAATGTAAATCAGTGTTGGAAGGTACTTTCAAAGTGAAAAATTCCTACGCACGAACAACTGAACAGAAAATCAGTTGACTAAAACGACAGATGCAGTAGAAAATATTTTTCATGTCGAATGAACGAGCCGATATGAGAATCACTTTTCGTTGGATATGGTGAAAACAATTCATAACTAGGTAACTAATTCGAATGATGTTATGAGATGAGTGATTTGGTGTTCATGATCGCTTCGAAAAATCTGCTCATAAATACAATGATGCAATCAGAAGTCACATATTCTCGATTTAATGGTCATAAACAACTACTCAGAAAACAATGAGTCATCACCAATGAATGAAATTTGGATCGAATAGGTTAGAGCGTACTTATCCAAAAATCAGAATCCTAATCAGTTAAATAGAAGACAAAGATTTGCCCATCATTTGCTACCGACGGCAGCTAGGTATAAACTAATGCTTTAGATTAGCAACTCAAAGAATCATAGCTGGAACTTCACCTATTATCTGGTCACTGTTCTATAAATACTTCACGCAATAAGAAGCACTCAGATCTTCATTTCCAGTCTGACAGTGAAGTCGAATTTTAACAATGCAAGGAAAACGGGAGTGGGATATTTTGTTCTCACTAAAATGAACACTGATTAAAAACCTTTTTATCATTCATATTTGGAGTTTTTTACACATATACCTTATAAATGGGCCCGATAAACACAAATTAATATGCCAATTAGTATACTAATTAGTGATCTCATGAAGGTTGCTATCACACACCAGCAGACATTTGTTAATTCTTTGCAGACAGAGTTTGTAATATCTGACATTTTCTTGGCGTCATGAGTTTAACTTCTTTTATGAATGTTGCATTTACTACTTAAGTCCTTAAAATTTATCCAATTAAAAAATCACTATCGGAATAAACCAAAATAAATATTTACAATTGTTTATGCATACACATTGAATAATATTTTTTAAACGACGTAGTTCAATCTCATGGGCTACTTAAGCAACAAGGTGGCAAATATACATATTAACTACTAAGCCGCTATTCGTTACTTTAAAGAAACATTATACATAGTGAGGAATGTCTTTTACACCTTAGGACGACTGAAATTCGGACAGCTTTATAATGTTTTATACTGCTTAAGCTATTCTGAGTATCGTAGCTCTCCTATACTGGTTAATAAAAATCATCATTATATCCTTAGGATTGAGCAAAAACATTATTTCAGTGCAGTTGATTTCATGGTCATAATTCCATCTGCTTATATTTTTAGTGTAATACCTGAAATTGATCTGAGTCAAGAGCATCTGGACGCACAATTTGCTGATCTTTATCAAGCAACAAGTGCACCGGTGAAAGAATATGAACGTGATGAGAGAAGTCAACCAAAGAGTGCACCACAGTTTACTCAACAACCGGTGATTAGTAGTAGTGATGTTCTTGAAGGTGAACCTGTCAGAATGGAGGCCTTTTTAAACACCACAAGTGATTCTTCGTTACAAGTTGACTGGATAAGAAATGGACAGCCAGTTGGTACAGGTAATTAATTTTATCCTAGTAGACTTCTCCATTGGCAACATTTCTGCTCTACTAAATCACTGTCGTGAATTAACAGAAGCAGGAAATTGCGGACCTTTGAAACCCGACCTAGCAGCTGAATGGCTAACGCGTTCGCCTGAGTTCTAGCCCTGACGAGGCAATGTCGTCAGTGCATACTGCTGAGGAATCCTATACTAGAAAGAGGCAGCTATCCAGTGATCCCAGGTTGCCGGTGATTCCCCACCTGGCGTCAGTTCGTGACGAATGCAACCTCTATTTATATGGCAGTGTGACACAAGTCAAACAATAATGAATTCAGGAACTCTTGCATTGAAAATTGTAGGATTCGTAAAACGTTTGAAGTTGTTTCCAGTTACAAGAGCTACTGCATTTAGAGATTCTGGTAGATTCATGTAATAATCTTTTTTAAAAATAGGACAGAAGAAGTATCCATTTAAATAAAATAAATGGTCAGTTTTTATATCATTTATGAGTGGTATTACTCATTACCGTACTGACTAGTAATAGGTTGCGACCAGCAATTCAATAGAAAGTGAGACAAAGTTTACCAGAGTTATTTTTACTTTAAATGGTCGTAAATTGTATCATAATATGAAGACCAGCTAGCTGAAACATGTGAACGGTTTACTCTTTCGTTTCAATTTAGTTACCATGTGTTTATGGCACCAAAGTCTTCGAATGAGTTGTATCCAACTTATGATGCGCTATAGTAAGAGAAGGAACCAATGAAAGGTTTACAGTATACAAGTGGCTAATTCCCTTCGTTTAGAGTCAGTACATTTTCAGATGTACAGATAAACTTTTATTCAGTGTATATACATAGTTTAATGTTGTTTTTAAAAATTATACAGGAAGCCGTTTCAACGCTGTACTCGATCGGGGATTGGTTGTCTTAGAAATCGGTTACTGTTTAGCAGAGGATAGTGGACAGTATGTGTGTGTGGCAACAAACGCAATTGGACGAACAGAGAGTCAACCTGTTGAATTAAGGTAAATTCACATCCGCATACATTTTTTCATTATTTTTATTTGTGACTGTGAAAGCAGTGGTTTGGCAGCTCATTTGGCAGAACATGGGCTCCGTAGGCCAATGTTTAGGATCCTGTCCTGACCAAGATTTCCACCTTACCCTTAATCATCACGCTCCTACACTTATTTTTCTTTAGCGTATCACCTAAAAATCACTTAAAATAGGAAACAAGTAAATGTCATTTTCTTGAATAGAGCAATTATTTTTTTGACAGAAAATATATAAGAACCAGTAAACCGTCATTCGAAAAGTGTATCTCAGCTCAAAAGTGTTAATACTAACCAAATGGCAGTTCAAATGATTCCAGTTCAATTTTTCGGAGAAATTTCAGCTTCATGTGTATTCTGGCAGTTTTGGGATTCGTTTTGGCACTGATTTCAACTTTCTTCTATGTATCACCTTCAGTGTTGCCTGACTGACTATTGAAGATGACTCTTCAGGTTAACATTTCTAATTTAGCAAATTTTTCACTCATTCAACTCTAGGCATCGGATATCAAATGTGGTAACAAAAAAAATCTCCCTTTAATTTAGCTTCTAAGCTGAATTAAGTTTTTTGATGAACATAATTCAATAACCATGACCACGTTAACTATCTGATAGCCAACTCATACTTGTTAAATTTAGAAAGTAGACAGTTAGGACTTTTTAGTGAATGAGTTAGTTTCAGCACTAATTAGTTCTTTGTTATAGTTTAAAACTATATAGAGTATGGTAAATATCTTTTAAGAAAACTTTGTTCACTAATAAACTTCGCTTTTACTTATCGTATATTTAGATGTCAGCCAGAAGATCGGATTGTTACAAAATCGATTTTGGATCAGGAGTCTATCAACCATCTAAAACAACTAGAAGAACCTGGAGAAGACTTTGATCAGTATGTTTATGTCAATGAATAACTGCAAATCTTTGATTTTGGAAGTAATATCAGGGAGAAGAGAAATAAATTCTCCTATTTCAAAATATGGTATTCAGAGTAACAAATAATTTGATATTGCTATGTACACCCTCAATTTTCCAAGGGTAATCTGACTTAAGCATTTTGAAGAGAATTTTTATCCGGAACACCAACCATATAGAAAGTCATTAGAAACAAGGAAAAATCGAAAAAATATTTCGTTTTGATACTAAGTTTCAAAAAGAAGGAAGTAAAACTGCTTACGGATTGATACCAAGGTTCACGGGCCCAAGCCACTGAGTTGTTTTCCAGCCGACTGAATTTTCGAGTTTCATTCAGTGTAACCAAATGAATTTTTTCTCTCTTTCCCTACAAGAAGCAAATTTTCATTATCTGTTTGCCTTTAACAGCCTCTGAAATTATAAAAATTCTGAAAGTTATCTCAAACAGTCAACTTATTTATCATGGGTTAATTATCCAAAGAAACTGCTTTTGAATACTATTTGAGTAAAACCTGTTCAAACATAACCAACCCACCATTACAAATTCTGCCCAGTGTGATTTACTTTTTAGATCTGAGCAGTAAACCAAATGTTTCTCACAACTGGCATGCATAGAATTATATATCGCATAAAGAAGTGTTTAAAATGATTTTATTGAAATATTGTTGAAAAAATTGAACGTATGACGTATGACAGGAGTACGATAAAGTTGCCTACTATCACCCATCATCTTCCTGATTGTGGTCGACTGGATCATGTAGCAAACCATGAGGATCGAGAAGATGGGCATACACTGTTTGACCGATGGGAAGACCCTAGAAGAAGATTTGGATTTCGCCGATGATGATTTGTGTCAAATGTCTTGCCACGCAAACTCGAAGATCTACAGGCAAAAACTAACAAGTTGACAGAAAAAGTGAAGCAGCGAAAACGGAACTTCAAGTGGATGTAGAGAAGACAGAGGTGATGAAGATGTCCAACCACCACCAACAACAACAGGAACAACAAGCACCAATCACCATCACCGGGAGAAACCTAAAGGAAGTTATCTCTTTCACCTACACAGGTAAGGCAGCATCGTTTCAACTACAGGCGGCGTCAGCACAGATGAGGATGTCAAAATCAGGATCGGAAAAGCAAGACAGGCTTTCACTAATCTGAAATCAGTGTGGATATCCACTGCACTCAGCAAAAGTGTGAACAACATCCATATTTTAAACACCAGATCAGTCAAGTCAGTGCTGCTATATTGTTCAGAAACGTGGCGCGTCACGAAAAGCACTTCTAACAAACTACAGATATCCATCAACAACTGCCGCCTACGCTCACTTGATACTGAAAATCAGGTGACCAGAAAGAATAAGAAACAGGGAACTCGCTCCAGCTGGCAACGAACCAACCAAGAATCTATCACCCAACAAATATTCAGAAGGAAGTGGAGATGGATTAGGCATACATTGAGAAGGCCGGTAGGGGACATCACGTGACAGGCCAGGCCCTCGAGTGGAATCCAAAGGGAAGACGATGAGTTGGGCGTCCAAGGGTGATATGGAGGAAATCATATGAGGAAGAAATGAAAGCTTGTGCGCAGTCGTGGCGCCAGGTTGAACAGACTGTGGAGAACAGAGTGTAATGGAGGCATGCTACTGAATCCCTATATTCCACTAGGAACCCAAAGGGAAAATGATAATAATTATAATGACGTTATGTAAAACTCTCATCATGGTAGCAGAAGTCTTCTGAATAGATCTATTTCGAACAAAACTCATCAACCTTACCAAATTACCATCTACCAAAACAAAAGTTTACTTGAATGAGGGATATAAAACATAGTTTATTTTGCTGACTTCTGTTCAAGCGAACTAAATTTCTCCCTAATTTATCACTAATAAATGAGTGTTACATGAGGCAGTACCGAAAAAACTCAACTATAATGAACACATATTCTCGCTATTTACCAACGTGGTCATTTACTAGTTTTTTCAACATAGAGTAAATGTGCAACAGGTGATTTCCTGTGACTGACATATCCTGTTTTATTAAACAACATAATAAGATCAGTTGAAACAATAACCTTAAGAGCTATTTAAGCTCTTAAGGTCAGCCTGAAGTGCATAATAACTCCTGAACGAATGACGTTGGACTTTTATGACATGTTTCGCTTAATTCCATCCTTCTAGTCACGTTGTTTAAATTCATCAAGAGGACTAATTGTTTCAAGCTCTCCTATTAGTTATCGGAAGACTATTAATTTAAAGTATTCCTTTAGAATTCAGGAATTCATTCTTACTATTGGATTTCACTATCCAATTACACATAGTTAGCACTTTCAGGTAGTCAAAAGTTAATTTCAATGGCTTCACAACTTTAAGTGCAACAATTAAGAAACGAAACAAAACTGTATCATTAAAAATTGAACAATATGAAGAGATTCTGTTCACTTCATTTCATATGCTATTACAACTCCACTCAAGAAATTCGTATATGAATTAAACAGAGTGTCGTCATTTAATAGACAAACATAATTCAGGTTTTCCACTCTATTCAAAGAAAACTTTTGTTTTTTTTCAGCACACTTTATGGAGCTGCTCAAAGCATACCTCCATCTTTCAAAGCAAATCTAGAACCTTCTACGATTCAAGTAAATGAAGATGAACCCGTAATTTTCTCCGTACCAGTTGACTGCGGTAATGGGGATCGTGTGGTTGTTGAATGGAAACGTGATGGGCAGGTTGTTAAAACAGGTAATTATACATCTATGCTGCATTTTTATTTGCATTTAGTCGGTTTCATCTGTTCTCTGTTTCGGCTGTCAGTAAATATTGCATTTCATGGTTCAATTATATTAAAATATCCTAGAAAATGACTGCATTGTAACATCCTTTTTCATGATAATGCCTACTTCAATTCATCCATAGTTATCGAAATATGCAGTGACTCAAAATGATAATATCCTTTTTCTCCATTTTTACAATTAAACTGACTGAGGATTTGGGTCTAAGAGTTTTCTTATTTTTGTTATTGGGTTACTTTCGGTGGCTATAGCTTGTGAAGGCTTTAAAAGCAACAGAATAACAGGATACTGTTTTTAAATTATGATATAGGTAAGCTAAAAGTCATCGACATTCAGTTTATGCCGTTAGATTAGAGAAACTTCCATTTTCCGGTCCATTTGTTAAAAGTTATGAATAAAAGTATGTAGGTTCATATGCAATAGGTTAAAAGTTTCGGTTTCTGTTCAACTTCACTACAGCCTATTAAAGCTGCACTACACTTTTTTGTTAGAATAAAACTTGAACTAACTACTTATTGAAGGACTTCTCCACACCATTTTACAGTTAACTATTAAAATATACACTTGGGTGCACTGTGAAAGTAGTGAAAATAATCTCATGGGATATATTTGTTATTTGCAAAGTATCCGACAAAAAGTAAAGAAACTCAAGTATTCAGTAATACCTAAGACAGCATCCACCCTTAAATATTGAATTAATGACTAGTAATAAGTGTTACTAATAACCTACCGATATTCCGAAGACACTGTGCCACTGAATTACAAGGGAACATAAATCCTCCAACAAAAATGGAAGTCCTGAACGCCATAAAGCTACTGAAATGTGGGAAAGCAGCAGGACCAGATGGAATACCGCCAGAAGCACTGAGAACAGACGCAGAAACAACAGCGGACATGCTCACACCACTATTGCAGAAGGTGTGGAAGGAAGAGAAGGTACCTGACGATTGGAAGAAGGGTTACCTTGTCAAACTGCCGAAGAAAGGAGACCTGAGTGTTTGCAAGAACTGACACGGAATCACTCTCCTGTCCACCCAATGCAAGCAAAATATTAAGCCGCATCATCCTGAAGAGGCTTAAAGATACACTGGATTCAAAACTGCGACCGGAACAGGCAGGCAGGCTTCAGGAAGTACAAATCATGTGCAGACCAAATTGCAACGCTTCGCATCATCATAGAACAGAGCATAGAATGGCAATCAGCTCTCTACCTCAACTTCATCGACTTTGAGAAGGCCTTTGACAGCGTCGACCGAGAAGTAATTTGGAAACTGCTTCAATACTACGGAGTACCGCAAACCTTTATCCGCCTCATTCAACAACTATATGAAGATGCCACATGCCAAGTAATCCACAATGGGAAGCTCAGTGATGCTTTCGAAGTGAAGACATGAGTGAAACAAGGTTGCCTACTATCCCCCATGATATTCCTGATTGTGGTCGACTGGATCATGCAGCAAACAGTAGGCAGCGAGAAGAGGGGGATACACTGGACGACGGAAAAGAACCTAGAAGACTTGGATTTCGCCGATGATGACTTATGCCTAATGTCACATAAACTTGAAGATCTGCAGGCAAAAACTAACAAGTTGATAGAAGAGGCAGCTAAGACGGGACTTCAAGTGAATATAGAGAAGACAGAAGTGATGAAGATACTGCACCACCACCACCAACAACAACAAACTCCAGTCACCATGAACGGGAGAAACTTAAAGGAAGTAACCTCTTTCACTTATCTAGGAAGCACTGTTTCAACTACAGGCGGGACGGACGAGGACGTCAAAGTCAGAATCGGAAAAGCAAGACAGGCGTTCATTAGCCTGAAACCAGTGTGTAGATCTTCTGCACTGCACTCAGCATGTGGAACAAGATACGGATATTCAACACCAACGTCAAGTCAGTGCTTCTGTATGGCTCAGAGACTTGGCGCGTCACGAAAGGCATTTCCAATAAACTACAGACATTCATCAACAACTGCTTACGCTGGCTCGCTACTGAAGATCAGATGGCCAGAATAATGAGAATAAGCAACAAGGAACTCTGGGAACGAACCGACCAAGAACCTATCACGCAACAAATATGCAGGAAGAAGTGGAGATGGATTGGGCATGCACTGAGAAGGCCGACTGAGGACATCACGCGCCAGGCCCTCGAGTGGAATCCCCATGGGAAGCGACGAGTTGGGTGTCCGTGGTGAGGGTGACATGGAGGAGGTCGTGCGAGGAGGAAATGAGAGTTTGTGGGCTGTCGTGGGACCAGGTTCAAAAGATCTCAGAGAACAGAGGTCACTGGAGACGTGCTACTGAAGCCCTATGTTCCACTAGGAACCCATGGGACTAATAATAATAATAAATAATTCCGAAGACGTAACTCATCATTGAATCAGAATTAATGTGCTTATTAGCTTTAGTGGGCTTGAAATAATCTTCAAAGTATTTCTTATATTTTAAGGATCACGAATTACAGGAAGCTTGGAACTGGGTATCGCCAGCCTGAAAATTCATTACGCCCAACCAGCAGATACTGGAGCATATACTTGTCACATTTCTACGGAGCATGGGTCCTCTGACTGCGGTCCTTCCAACTTGTTATGTGAAGCTACGGGAGGCATAATTGCTGCAAGTCAGCTTCCAGGTGACAAGGAAAAGGGTAAGATTACCATCAGTCTATAATAAACTGTAGTTAGAATGTCTAAAACTTAGGTTATAACAAGTAGCCTTCAAAAAATGCCGTCTATATTATGATTCTCATTTTTTTTAACTAGGCCTTCAAGCCATTGAAGCAATAGAAGCAAATTTACATGCACCACGTGGTACAATCTGGGAAGATGATGGTCCCCATGAAGCACCAATAATTATTCAACATCCACAACCTGTTGGTGAGATTGAAGAAGGCACAGTGATTCACTTTGATGTTCAAGTAGAACCTGCAGCTGACCCTTCACTGATCGTCGAGTGGTAAGACTTTTTCACTGAATATTTGCCTGAGCCTTATTCACTGGAACAGATTTAATGTCTTGAAATTGAAGCAATGAAGTGAATGTAACTGTAGCATAATTATGGAATATTCTGAGCAAAGATAAAGAGACTTTAGGTTAACTGATTAGTTGACGTTCACATTTGAACTGGAAACGTGAAACCTATGGAAGGAACGCTAGTAAATATGTAGAATCTTGTGCAGTTTTTTACTATGATGTATTCTCAACGTCCACATTTATCTCATTATTATTAGTTGGCATTTAAAATAAAATATTTACTTTCGTTGGAAGGTTTAAAGGAGGTAAATTATTAACAAGTGGAACACGATTTAAAGTTGCCTATGAAAGAGGATTAGCCACTCTGGATCTTTTATATACTATTCCTGAGGACAGCGGTGAATATTGGTGTTGTGTGGCGAATAAAGCTGGTCAAATGGAAAGCAATCACGTGCAAGTTCTGTAAGTTTATTTGCATATATATATATATATATATATATATATATATATATATATATATTCTATATTAGATAATCAGTGTGAATGAGAAGTGTTCTTTTGATTTATTGTTCTAGCTTTGGAGAAAACTGACAGTTTTGACGTGTTTCTATACCTTCACTCGAATAAAGTAGCTTTGATTAGATTGTATATAATCGTGTTTCGATACCTCCAGTACCTAAAAGTGGTGGTTTTTGTATCCGAGACAAAAACAGAAAACAAGTCTAAGCATGCTTTTATCCTTGATAATATGGAAAACACTCACAAAGTCGCTTGAAACGTGTGTAATTTGTATGATGGTATCAAGGTGACCCTATAGATCATCCTAACAACTACTAAAACAGTCAATTAGGTTTCTCTATTTTATGAAAAGCTACTTTTCTGGAAAAAACGGAGACATCTAATTGGAAATCTTTTAGTTGCCAGATATGACGTGAAATCTAATCGCTATTTGCACCACATGCATGGTCTAGAGCATTATTAGACAATACATAACTCCTAAATCAACTCAAAGTTAGATGAGTGGTTATGCATTAGCAGACTTGCTAGTGAGTGGTATAAATTTTGACATCGTTTTATACATTTATTTTCATAATCTGTAAGTGTGAGTCCAACTTATTATTATTAGCTTGTCGTTTTGATAACAAACGTCAAACTAAACACAAATTGAAGTCTATCAACCATTATCTAATGAAGCATTCATAAATCATAAGAATAAGAAAAACGTTTTTCCTTTTCCAGCTATTATTCACATTTAATTTTATAAAACCACTTTATCTTGTACCACTTCGGTTATCACATGGAAGATTGGCTCTCACATGTAGCTGTGCAATATTTTCTTTTAGACCTCGCACACTTGAATTCTGTTTTCACAGATACCTAAATAGGATTACAACGTCAACGGAGTGTACCTCTAGAGTATTAAAAAAAATATTCCAAGTTAAATTCTACTTCCAGTTCATAATGGAACTATTCAATAGGCATCATAAATCTATATTTCACCAAATTATCCAAACTGATATGAATCCAAAATGATTCATAGCCAGTTCTGATGAAAGTCAAGCAAGAGATTGGAATGCGACTGACTATAACCATGTCAGATTTGATAACATTTTATCGAGATCACATGAATTTCAGTGTAGTGACTATTTCTAAAGAGCATTCCGAATTCTAAGTTGAAATAAGTGCACATAACGTTTCGTTTACGTGGATTCAGAGATTCTAGTGTTAATCGAATTGAATTAGCTTCCAGTCAAGTCACCTATTAACTCACTCAAATGATAACACTGTTTAAAAGACAAAAATTTCAGTTAAGCCATCCACTGTATCATGTTTGGTTTAGCTACAATGGTGGATAATAAATATTTCCTTTTCCTGTCTAACCTTCAATGCCCTAGTTAAAAAGGTGACACAGTATTTCATAGACTGAAAAAATCATCTCAGATATTATTCGATTCTTTCGTGTATTGTCTACTACCAATCTACAAGTATACACACAATAGCTATTTCAGCACACACACACAGGTATCTACTATTCGTATTTATCCACTCACATAATTAGTGTATGTTAGGCTGGAAAGAAAAATTGGTTTACACCGAATCAATAAAAGCATAAATTTGCATCTGTAGAATAGAGACATTTTTTCCTCTACAAAAATGTATCACTCTGATAATCAGTCTAAATACAATCCTAGTGTAAGAAGATAAGTGTTAAGTATTGTAAGTGAAACTTTCTCATGAACAATATTCTCAGGAAAATGATTTACAAGTATAGAACACAGACCAAGACTTCTGCGTTAATCAACTCGGAAGTTACTAATTTTTGGTGAATTATATATCTGAAAATAAATTGCTTGCCCTTGAAGAAAAATTCACATTTTCCCACCTTGAACCATGAACAGCAACTATGTAATTTTCAATTTAATCACTGAAACATCTGATCTACATTTCATTGGCGCCTACTCAGAATTGTTTACCAATGGAAAGTTACGACTTTTCGAAATATTGCATAAGATATTTTGGGGGAATGAAAAGCTGCGATATATAAAGTTGTTATATAACTGGAAACTAAAATATATTCAAGATTAATAGTCACTTACTTGTAACTGATTTATCATTTCGTTGGATTTGACCTACAACAGAAGTCACCAATTTAGCAGTTGCTCACTACCTTTTGGTATATATGGTATATTATACATGAGCAAAATAAAAGAAGTAGATATCCAGATTTCAAACTCCAATCAGGTTGAACCTGTACATAACGTCAATTTTCTCGTTATTTAGAAGAAAAGTAAAGATCTGTACCTTATGTAAAATGTGGTCAAGAGATAAATCGAATAGTTATAGTCATTGAAATGTTCATTTTCATTTATTTGCGTAGAAAAGATGAATTTTTCAGTAAAGGAACGTTTCCATTCATAGCACAAGGTCAGCTGTTAACCTGAAGAGTATTCTGTAAATTTGATCGTTATTTGAACTTCCAGTAGCCTTAACTAATAGTTACTGATTCTTTTTTCGATACCGCTTGATATACATAATTTCTAAGTAGTATTCTGCTCATCATCTCACCTGTTCGAGAAATGTTTATTCGTCATATTACTTATACATATCAGAAAATGGGCAAAACCAGAGAACTGTTACAGGGAATTACTGAACATGTTCAGGAGCTCCGTTACATCAATGACTGACTTGCACTTTTGATAACCGTTCACAACAAGAAGAAGCGAATGATGAATAATACATCTGATACATCCTACGTCCAAGACAGTTTTAATTCATTGAACAGCCCAACAGAAAGTTACTGGGAAGACAAATTCTTGGGAATTATCAGCTTTGATCAACTCCTAGGCTAAACAGGAACTTTCGTCTACTTATAATGAGAGATAAGATAAAACTTGTAACTACATAGTGATATCACCTATAGAAGAGATAATTTACGAATTAGTAAGTATGGGTAGTGTGATACAGGTAGTACAGTTAGTTTGCTTCCTTGTGCTCGGAAATGAAGGAGCTTCTTTGGTCATAGAGCTTCCACTCGACAGCAGCTTTTATTCTTACGCCAATGTTTATAACTGAATATCTCTCGACAACGTGTTAGATACTGAATATCCGACTGAATAGAAGATTGTACAACGAAGTGTCAAAAAATGGTGTGACTACATGACAAATATCACAGGTCAGAGGTCAGAGAACACGAAATCACAATTTGTGACAATAATGTTATTATATTTTTACGGAACAAAGAAATTGTGCGATGGAACAGATGTACAGATTGAACTGTCTTTTAAAGTTTCAACATATCACTTCTGAAGTGTTGTTATGACGTAGTTAATATATTTATGATAAAGATGAGAGTTTTGCATAGCTCCAGTTGACACTTTTTACATACCTTTACTACGACTTGATACAGCCATCAGATTCCACCCTTAATGGTCACTCAGTTTCTCTGCAAATAGAAACGGCGATAACAGAACAGAAGGTATATTTACGAAGTCAACGGCAACGTTAACAAGAATACAAAGCACAAGGTTTATATATTACAATGGCCTAGGCTACTTCCAGGATAACTAGATTTAAATTCTGTTGATTTTCCATCTCTTAAATCAACCTGATAATTACACGCTGGATTCACGTTTCTTTCCGAAACTGCAAAGTAAAGTGGTCTTTTGAAAATAGTTTTAGGCATATAAGGGTTCTTATGAAGACTTTATCGATCTTTCTGCAGACTGTAACACCTCTCCCTTGAAATAGGGATTGATAGTACAATGATGTCTTTTGATTGACCTGTAACGTTTCTCTGGCTCGTAATAAATTGTTCCTTAATACTCTACTGATCAGTCTATGCTGCGGCGTAACCTGAAGTAAGTGAATTGCAGTATTAAATGAGGAGAATAATTCTGGCACTTTGAAGAAGGGTATTTGATGAACCTTCTTTTCTCCACTTAAAAGAACAAACTGATAAATGTTTCCAAAAACATTTCCCATAGCTTTATATGCGGAATTCCAACGTTGTTTGGCACTGGATTTGCAAAAATGCTTGAGGTTTACTCTAACCATGTGTGTGGATTCAGGCGCTACCATGGTATTTTTAACACTACAATTCTTACATGAATTTTCTAAAATCAATAAACCTAGTTCAGTTAGACTTCTTTGAACAGGCAGTGTTGTCATACGCTTTTGGTTCTGTTTGTCAACAGAATTCAATTTTTTAGATGAGAGCCTGAGATCTTGTTTCCAGTTTGAGTCAGAGTAATCTAGGTGTACTTGGTCTACATGATAAGGTAATCCTCTATGTGATGAATCGCCATAGTTAACACTGCAGTACACTACCGCGATAACTTGCTCCTGACCGTTTTCATTGTTCATTCTTGATTTATTTTTCTTTGTGGTGTAAACGTGTGATGGGTACAATTAAGAAAATGCTGTTAAATAAGCTACTTGTGGGTAGCCATCACGATTTACGAAAAATAAAAGACCCGTTTGTAACCAAAAATAATACTTCTGGTTTATTACAAATGGTTACACCTGACAACGAAACATTTTAACTTCGCTACAATTTGATTTTAATAAAAAATGAAGTGTCATTTCGCCTTATAAATAACTATAATTTCTATATACTTATTCTCAAGGTGCAACGCAAGTGCTTCAGTCATCACACACAGTAATCTCTTACAAGGAGCTGAAGGTTACCATTTGATAAAGGCAATTGAAGACATTGAGCAGCCGTAAGTGAAAGTCTGTGAAACTCACTTCTGATATTTTTCCTATTCTCTTATTACTAATGAGTCACTACCTCGTTTATATTTGAATGATCGAACAAATGTAATGAAGTTAAATTAAAAAGGAAAATAATTGCGAAACTCGAATAATTATTTTTCAGCAATGAACAGGAATATAATTATTTTGAAGAGGAAGAAGCTGATGCGGCGCCCAATTTTGATGTGAAACCACAAGCTGCTACAATAAGCGAAGGTTCTCCAGTCAAATTCTTAGTACGTGTCAGCGGTAAACCCACACCACAACTGACATGGTATCTCAACGATGAACCGATTGAACAAGTAGGTATCCTACATAATCATTTTATTCGTTCAAGAAATATATATTTTTCATTTGTTTTTTGTATAATGGAGATATTTTCCACTTTTACACTCTACTTATTAACCAGAGGGATGGATTGATATTGATGTCGAAAATACACCGTGATATTCAGAAACCAGTGCGCTGATTATTCAGTCTTGTTAACCGACCAAATAATTTCCAATCACTTATATTTTGTTCCACTAAAAATGCTTTTTGCTCATCTCCCCGTAATTGATCACGTGGCTTCACTAAAGTACAGTTTACTACACAGTTGTTCCTGCTTACTGGAATCGATTAAGTGAATTTACCTATACATGAGTGTCTTCCGCTGTTGCACTGATGAGATTGTAGTTCTTTGCATAAGCATAATCTGCTGCGTTTTCAGTTAAGCCTACATGAATTTTAGCAAGCTAGATATAAATGGACTTGATTCAACTCCTTTAGTTATTCATACCTAAAGCAGAATATCTCGAATAGTACTTATGAATCAATAAACGCTGTAGTTCAGAATGCGTCAACGTTTGGCTGCCTGCTGAGGATACTCAGTTATCGTTTAAGAACTTTGAAATCCTTCTTTCCTATTTGTTGAACTGTTATCAGTAGAAAGCAGGTTGAGAGAAGTCGGAAAAAGTGGACCATTATATTCCATCTCAGTAGATGAGTAACAGCATTCTTGCCACGAGATGCTGTAGGACTTGACCCTTCCAGGAGTTCCACCCTATAAAGAAAAAGCTGTCTACTTCATTCATTATAAGAGTATATTTTAATACAATTCCATAGTGGCTGAAAACTCACCTTAATAGCTACAGTAATTCTTACTATGCTTTCTAAAGTATGCATTTTTTTAAATGTTTCATTTAAAAACTCAGGATTCAATTACGAAAATCTACAGCGATGGAGCAATTAATTATTTAGAAATGAGTCGTTGTCCCGCTTTACAAGGAAGTAATAAATTACATGTGATTGCACAAAATCAACTAGGCAAAGCTGAAGCAGAGACTATTCTCACAGTTGTATTGGCAGAAGACTTCAGACCAGATTTGAAACATGTTAAACCAGGTAATGAAACAATTCAACTATTTTAAGTAATAATTAGTTACAAATACTTTCCATCATTACAAGCTTCGTTAAACATTCCACTATCATTAGAGTTGAGTTGTTCCAGTGATTTAGTTTCTTCTCAAACTGCACGAAAATAGATAAACTGGAGGCATATCCTGCTGAACAGTATGATTGATCCTGGTTAAAACTTTTTTAAATCTTCAAAGATAAGTGAGTAACCAAATAAATTGGAAAAGTTTTTTGAAGTGATTAGTAGGTGGTTAAACATGTAACATTAGATGGGATGAATTAAATAATACAAAAAAGTGATAAATAGTGTCGAAAGATAAAAGTGATCAGTCTAAGTTTACACTTGGTAGAAATATTTAGACAATAATGCATACTTTCTAGTACAATGAAAAAGAAATCCCTTTTTTTTTTATCTCTAAACTCTTCATAATTCAAATCACTTCTTGACGTCTTACATCTCTGTTGAAACATTTGTGCAACTATTGAATATTGTATGACCTAGTATACATTAATAATTTTTTCGATTTACTTTTTTTTACTATGCATGAATGCCCAGTTTATATTAACAGGTTGGTATTTCTTTTAGCATATGAAATTGAGTAGATTATGCATCACTGACGTGAAACTTTCAAAACATTTCTTCTTTAATGTTCATTATCGTCATGATTTTGTTATTAATATAATTACTATAACTACTGGTTTTACAGGAAATAGGAATATTTTAATTTTTTAAAAACAACTAAAATAACTAGTAGTTAAATTTAAAGCTGCCTTTTTTTTACCCAAATTTCTTAATCCACTGACATAAAAGTACATTTATTTATCACCGTAGTTAAACATCTTTTAGTATCATTACGATGTACATATGGAAGTCATCACATGTTGAAATGCTGTCAATTCTATTTGTAGATATTTTAAAGTATATAGTAAAGTGATTATAAGGCTTATTAAAAATATTCAATAATACGGAATGTTGAAGACACCTGATAAAACAAAGGCTGAAATATCCTTGATTAATCCCATGTTCATGCATTATAAAACTTATTTTAAGGACTGAACCACCTGCATAAAAATACGTTTTTTATATAAGTGATACAGTAATGAAGGAAATCCCGAAAAGGGATTTTGCTAAAATAGTGTTCTTTAACACTTAAACTTCGGTTTCATCTCCAAACATTATCTATCAAAGATTAGGAGGTTTCCATTTACCTTTCAAAGTATTTTTGCTAAATGAAATGCTCTGTCTTGAAGTTGGAACAAACTTCGAAGAAATTAAAATTAACCCCAACTATAAAGAAGAATGTTATGCTAATAACTGCCAGTGAATGGATTTTTACCGTGCACTTTCTTATTACTTTAAGTCCTATGCTAAACTGTTATTTAATTCAGAAGGGGTTAAAAGTACTTTACTGGTCAAAAGCTCTGGTAATTAAAAAGGAACACTGTAGAAACCATATGCGTATATAATACCTGAAAGGAAATCATTAAAATTTTCGATACCTCTAAATTATTTTACTTCCCATATATATATCCATTAGAAAATCCTTACAAGAAGATGGTCGGCTTGCGCAAAGTTGACTGCTCACCTGAGCTAAACAAAGCTTTGACAAGAAATAAACCATCCGCTCAAACAATAATGGAGATGGAAAGGGGTAAGTTCCACTAAGATATAGTACAGACCTTATAGTAGTTTTGTTTTGGCTATAGCAATAGAAACTAGCACACGCATTTAGCTGAAATCCTTTATGATATTTTCTTAAACCTACTAACAATGATTAACGGTCATTTCTTCATGTCGTTATAATATCAGCTCCATAAAGTAGGAGTGAATTTAAAGTTTGAAGATTTCCATAGAATAGAGAAACCTGATTGGTTATCTGGGCTGTTAGCTTGCATTTTACTGTCACTTTGTTAAATCGTTAAGCAAATGTTAAGATTTGTTATCTTAGGATATATTTGGGTTCCTTAAAGTCCGTAAAGCTACTTATTCGACGAAATGTATCCACATTCAGCCTTTGTGTTTGAAGATTTTAAATAGGAAGAAGCAGACAACGTTATGTAAAAGTGACTTCAAAGGCCAGGACAACACATCCAGAAGTGACCTGTTAAGTTTTCATTTTATGAACAAACCACTCTCCCGACTGCAGTAATGAAATCTAATAGGTACTTATTACAATAATTGATCAAATGGTCTCCAGACCTATTTCTTGTTTAAACACATGAAGCATTGAACTCTGTGGTTTTGTTTAAACTTACTACGCAGCCATTTTTAACAGCTTATTTGCATGTAGAAAGGAAGTTGCAACGAAGTAAAAGCTTTCAATTTGTCCCTTCATTTTACCAGGACGTTAAGGTTACTTATCTAACAACCTTTTATTCCTAAATAACATTTGATTACTCATAATCAGGTGAGAAACCACCTTATCACTAGGATTCTTGCGATCACCCATCAAAGTTCAGAATCCTGTCATCTCTAAAAATAACTGATTAACATACAAATAAATCTTTCTTGTTTATGTTGAACAGAGTAGAAAATTTATAAGCAAAGAAAAATCTTTGCCTACAACAAAGAAAACTAATTTGTTACATGTGTGAAAGTTTCTCATTGGTAACCGGATAGACGTAACAAGGAAGTAGCTAATATTTACCTATTTCTTTTAGTCAAAATACGGTTACATGCTTACAGCAGTTGTATTTATGAATAAACGTTCAAGGGAATTTGCGTGTGAAGATAATTGCTCATCACTACGCACAATAACCAGATTATGAATATGATTTCAGAGTAGTTCGTATAATTAAACTGAAATCATTTGGAGTAGTAGGTGAGCATATCTGGGGAGTTCCAAACTAGAACAAAACAGATGTCAAGTGCTCCCAGGCTTTTAATGGTTAGCTGCTTGTTGTCATCCCGTGATGTGAACTATTTTCTAACCATTCGACCTCTAAGAACCAAAAGTTGAGTAAACATGATTAAGACCTCGAGAAAAATATTTCATGTTACCATTCATATTCAAAATAAGCTGAATTAATATAGCACTAAAATCTTGAGTTTATATTTTCTTTTCTTTGGATTACGACAGATAGAAAACCATCAGAGTTGGCAGTGCCGAACTTCCTGTAACTAAATATTACTTAGGCATATAACTTTGATAAATCACTGGTAAAAATTGTCATTTTGATGAGCATCTTTTTGTCTTCATAGTAGCCTCTCAGATCACCGGCACTAAATGAACTTGTCACAAAATGAAGATATGGCTATTTTCATTTGAGCTCAAGTGAAAATGATGTCTAGTACTTTAGTAACTGTTTTCGATGATAAAGAATATTTGTAGCGCAGGAGGTTATTCTAGTGGTGTTGCTGTGATATACTCCGAGATGGATCGCTTAATCATAAAACTTTCATTGTCATTCTAGAAAGTAACGTCAACACAATCTTTAGAAGGCTTTACGACTAAGCTATCCAGATCAGAGAACACAACACGATCTAAACAATTTTCGGTGTTTCACACAATCGTCAACTGCAAATTTTTATTGGCATTCAGCTGTGAGGCTGTTTTCAGGTTGATATTAAATTCATAAAACATAAAAAGGGATAAATTTGTGGTGATGTGAACTTTCCATTAGTAAATAATGTCTGATGATCAGTGTTCTCCTAAACTGTACTTCCATTAGTGATACACCGCTCATATTCATCTTATCAGTGGAGCATAAAACATTTTCAAAAAAGTGACAAAGATTACTCAACCAACAGAAAGTGAGTTTTCACGAAGCATCAACTATGTTACACGACTTGATTATAACTTTAAAGAAGGACCGGTAAAAGACTGAGTATTCAATGTAATGCTGTCAAGAATCTGTAAGTAATGAAAATTCTAAGTAATGAATTAAATTAAATAACATAAATAAGAGACTATGTTTATCAAAAATGAACAATAATTATCTCGCCAGTTTTACGATAAACAAAGCGAAAAAGAAGTATGTCAGAGGAGAATCACTAATCAAAGAATATATTGCTTCTAAAACCAATTCATACGCACTAAGTTGGATCTGACATAATTTTAGTTTCTCTTATGACCTTTTATTAAAATTATAAAAACAGTTCCAAAAAGACTTTAACATGGGGATAATCATTATGAATATCCTTCGAATAAATATTCCTTCATGTTGGGCATACAATTAAAGGGATTAAAGATAATAAAAATAAATGTTTATTTGTTAGGATGTATACTAACTCATGAATCTTTATTCCAGGTACTGAAATGAAAGCTCGTATGTACCGTTCACCAGAAGTACTTGAAGCTGAAAAGATGCTCGATCAACTTGCTTCAAATCTAAGAAAATCTGAACTCAAAAGAGTTAGTCCTTTTTTGATTTATTTTGCTTAAAAATGTACATAGATGATCATTTTGTTCTCAAACGATGACATAGTGTGTGTTGATAAATTATATGCTATGATATCAGATGCACCAAACTTAAGTAAGACTGCCTATTACTAGAAATTATAAGAGATTGATGCAAGGAAAATAAGGAACATTGGAACTGTCCTTAAGAAGAACAGGTACCTTATAACATTTCATAACAGGTAACTAGCAAGTTTGGTGAAAAACTATCGAAACCAGTTCAAATAACCTACAGCCACCATTCAGTTACTCATTTTCCAACCTCGATATCAGTGAAGTATATATATTTCTCCTCAAACTCTCAATGGGGTTGGACACGCTCTTCTAAGCTTGGAACAAGACGAAACAGCTGGATCGTATTGTTCTCCTTCATATTTCCCTCAGAATGGTTGCATTAAATCACGTAGCTAAGTTACTTACTAATCATCACCTCAATTTTTAAAAGGGACAAATATTTGGCTGACATCCACTACTGAACCAGTTTCACTTAGATTATAATTAAGATTTCAGGGTCCTCATTCAACCAGTGGATTGCTATAGGTCAACTGCAACAAAGTGGACAAAGCTAGGGAGATTCCAGGCACTAGTGGGGAATGAGCTGATCACATCATCACTCCTTGGAATGTTTCAAAGTACTGACATGTCTACTGTATTTTTTTAATCTAAAAGTGATCTGATTTATCGAAAATCGTTTTTTGAAATATCTGATTGTGAAGAGAATATCTGGTACACACACTTAATGCTAATCAGAACACACTATGAGAGCTCATTCAACTATATCACGGCTTATGGAGAGTTAAGTTCTTAGGTGATAAAAACTGGCCGTGTCCATCAAAAATGTTTAGTCTCAACGTCATCAATTTGGTTCTTTGTACATGTTATAATTGATGCTTACACACGCACCTACGACCTCTTTGTGATGGGGAAACTAATCAAAAGACACCTAGAGGACCTAGAGAAGACTGTTGGTTATATAGTTTTGTCAAATGAAAGCACTGAATAACTTCAAACTTTTCTCGAATCATTCAGTGGAAATCCAGATGTTTCGCACGAGCTTCGTACTTGTCGAAATAAAACATGATGCCTCGGAACTCTGGTACACCGACTCCTTGTTAGAAGATAGGAACTGAAGTGATAGTATGTGCTGACCACTTCATTACCTGGTCAGTTACATGAACCAAAATGGATTGGTTGTTGAAAAAGTCTCGGCTAGGACACAAATATTTCGTTGTATGTTTGTAAAAATTACTCCACTTCAGTTATTGGTGAAATCACCAAATATGCACCAAAGGATTGGCATCCTGAACAGCAATCTGTTGTATCCTATCGCGTAGCAATGATGGGTGGTAGATGGAAGTAAGAGACAAGAGCAGGCTATAGCTTTTTGGTCGTAAGTCTTTTTAAAAAGTAGCCAGGGCTCCCATGTTCTTATGATAGAGGATATGCAACATTTTCATCGTGGAAAGACTTTATGGTCTTCAGTTCAGAACTATGTGGTACCACTTGTACTGACACTGTTCACTTAACCACCGTCCACTTGGGATAGAAAAAATAGCTATGAAACCAATTTTACTCAAATCGATCACATTTGTGGGATGATTAAGTATTAAAAGTGGGATCCCTTACCTTTCAAGCGGAACCACTACGGACCATCACATATGAATACATGGCTATAGGAAATCAAAATATGTCGACAACTGATGACGCTTTTCTATTCTAACTATATAAACGTTCACTGATGACTGGTGATAGTTTATGGAATTTGCAACAGCGCCAATGCACTTCCTTAAGGCGTTATAAATTTATCACACTAATCAGTTATTCTGAATCCTAATAACGATTACTGTGATTTATGAAATGCAATGCCTTTAGTACGCTGAAATGAACAGTGAGCAGAAGTTATCATTATGCAGTAAACATTTTAGGCAAAACATTTGAACAAGATACCCTACTAAATAGGACTATCAAATGTTGAACGATTCTTTAGAAGCTTCGTTAGAAACACTGTTTTTCTGATTACTCAATGTTCTACGGATCTACTTACATGTGAATCGAAACTTAACTATATTTTTCACTGAATAATTGCGACAGTTTCAGAAATTAAAAGGATTCAATATTCAGTTAAAATACTCTTTTTGTTTTATTGTACACCTATCCGAAACCAAATCCTTCAAAGTAAGAGACAGGAAAGTGTGGCAAAGTTATTGAAATCACCAGACGTATTTTTTTAGGTATAAACAAGGCGAACCGTAAGTCTGGTTTCGCATCAGAAATCTCGCTCTGTTCCTCTTTTCACCCATTAATTCTCCTTTATGAAGTTAAAAAGAGCAAGAACAATGATGGTAGCAGGATAATATTGGCCCATCTTATTTCAGTATTATCTTATCAGCTGCTTACAACCTAGAATATAAAAATATATAGCCTTACCGGAAGCAATAAAGAATATTTTTGGGCTCAGGAGGATGATTTTGATATTGTTGTTTTCTGTTAGCCGGATGGTTTAACCGTGAAGCTGTCATCGTCATTCTAGACAACATGAGCACAAACTTTAGAAATAAGTGAGAGATAGGGCTTTCTCCACGAGTGGCTTAGTAGCCTATTCTAGTGGCTTTGTTGTGATTGGTTGTTTATCCCACAGTCTTATCATTATCATGCCACTTGTGCGGAAAATTCTATCATTCACTTCTTTCTTAACTTTGAGCTGATGATTTTTTCTAGAATGATGATGAAAGCTTCACAATTAAGCTATCCGGCTGAGAGAACACAAAACCATCAAAATTTAAAATACTTTAATTCACCGAAAGGAAACGGAATTTTGATTAGTGATTAAGATGGTCAGAGGCAGTCATAGAGTACAGATCAATCACAATAAGAAATTCAAGGAAAGTTAATGAAATTTAATGAATTGTCACAACTATATATACTCGAATGGAAGTTTCCGGAATAAAATTTGGCGACATGGTTAGTAATCAAAATACTAAGGAACTTAACACTAAAAGATAACTTAAGTAGATCATACAATAAACTAACAAAAGATCCAGAGTTAAACTGAGTTAGCTGAAAACAAATTGACAAGTGCATGACTTCCTACGAACTGTTATACAATCTAGTTTGAACGTATGTGCTATTTATGTCTCAGTTTGGATTTGCGTGTATATTGGCTTTGATGTGTAAGTGTAACCCTAGTAAACAACCGTATTTCACATGATTGACTGTAATGACCGTAGAAGTAACTACAAAGATAACCAGACAACTTCTTTGTTTTTTTGACACATGTTTTATCATAAATAAGGAGACCGAATCGGTTATTTTAGGAGTTGTTGGGTTACCCTTGAAGCCAATCATGCCAGACTAGACTTGATTTACAGCAGATGCTTACTCACAAATCTGGATGTAAGGAGTTTCATAAAACAAATTCTGATGAACATATAAAGTTTGTATATTTATTTGCAATAAGATTTTTCCTTTTTGCATATTGCAGCCTCCAATAAACGGCAGCAATCAAGATGGTGTCGCCTAAATTTTATAATGGAATAAATCTTAATTTACCACTGGACTATCCCTCACACACTTATCTGAACAGCTGTGCAATGCATGAATATTCATATTTAAAGAAATAATCAGTCAAACAATTCTATTTACAAAAAAATATTTACAAAATGAATCAAGCTACATATGTTAAGTTGGGTCATTTATCATAATTCTGAGAATAATGAACATGAAACATTTACCAGAAACAATGATATTATCACTACTTGTTTATATTTATGTTTCTATTTCGCCCAGTCTTTTCATTTCACTAGCACTTTTACTCACTCATGATCAATTCCAAATACTTGCTAAAATGTTACTTTCAAACAACAATTGACAATGAAACATTGGACAAGGTGATTTTAATGCTTCACATTTGATCTAATTCAGAGATCGATGTGTTTTACTCTCCTGAATATCATATAGCTAACTGATTTCAGTCAATCATATCAAACTAATTTATTCATAGTGTCTGATTGGTGAACATTTATCTGCTTTGTTCTATTAAAATATTTTTCGCCGTTTCTTCAATTGTGTTTATGGTCATGCTAATAATATATGAGAAGTGAATGCCAAATGACGGAAACCAATCATGCTGAAAGGACTGACAACGGTAATTTATTTCAAAGACCAGTTGTGAATAAAAAAGCATATTTTGGTGGTGAAAAAACCATTTTATGTTATTGCAGACTCTTTTCGCTGATGATATTGTCTATTTAAAATGTTCAACTTATCCTGTTATATTGTTTATTTAGCAAATTACCTTTGAGTTTATTTTTATTCGCTGCAAAAGACAATTCTTGATTGTCATGAATTTCAAAAGCAGGTTGATGTTTTCTTTAGCACATGCATTTGTGAAATTAAATATTAGTCAGACTTTTGTAAGCATGAACAGTAAGCTGCCTAGATGAAAAGTTCCGATAGTACTTTGATAAAGTATACATCAGTTATGTAAAATGAGCTTACGTGATATGAGGTGGTTAACAACTTAGAACTTCCGTTACTACACTAAAGAATCTGCAGATGTCCAGAAACATACTTTAAGACGACTGGGATGTCTCTCATCTTCTACAGTTTAAAACAACTTATGTTAGGCATAAGAAAGCAAATAAAAACAATTATTGGCTACCTATTGTAATGACAGGAATCTAAACTGCTTACTACCACGACATTCATATTTAATCATGAGGCTTAGCCTAAACTGAAGTCAATATTATGCATTTAAGTGATAGTTTTGCCACCAACCTGGATATCAAGTGGCTTTTCTACATGGCAAAAGTTTATAAGGTGCATATCGTTCTTGGTTTCCAAACAACATTTGTGTAGGCTGATATAACACACGTTTTTCAAGTTAAATGGTAGTCATTCAGATGAATCTTTCCCAGTTAACGTCGATGGTTGTTATCACAAAGCGATAAGGATTGTTGAGGTCGACCATTTTCTTATGAAATGCATGAATAGTCAAACTGTGCAGGAAAGTTGAAACAAGCAAAAACTCTTACGTATGTAGCCCTGTGGTGTAAATTTCTTTGGACATCGGTAAAAATAACTATGACAGTACCTATTTTTTTATGAAACGATCATTAATTCTTAAAATCACTTCAGTATCTTTTAGCTTATCTGCGATCAGAAGAAAAGCCCTATTAGCCTTCTGTTTCAAGCTTCACAAGGAATGACTAACTTTTTTTACTATCCATCAGAAACTTGAATAAAATCTGAATTTACTAATATGTACATTTCGATATTAATGATGGATAGTGGCTGAGAGCGGAATCCAGGACACGTGTTTAGTCCTGCGTGGGATTCATAAGCTGAACATACCTGCCTCCCAGTTAGTGATGTTGTTCCCACTCAGACTGGAAAAAAGGAACAGCCGTTTCAGACGTCAGAGTGTCTGAACGTGAACAAAATCACTCACTGGGCAACAGGTAGAACCAGCTCGCGAATCCTAAATCGGACGAAACGAGTGTCCTGCATTCCACTGCTAGCCACTTTCTGTTAATAATATCAAGTCTGAAAGTACCTGCATCGAGACATCCGCACAAGAGCCCAAATGCTAGGTAGTAGTAGGCCTAATTAGTTCAGTCAGCCACACGATATTACAAGTTATAATATCACGTAACTTTCATCTGTTGACAGCCTTCACATTTACTGCTGATGCAGAGCAGGTGTATCGAATATCAGTTTGTAGATTGTGGTAAAGCTAGCGTTAAGTATCTATCCATAAATTGTATATTGATGAAATTCAAGTTTGCCTGCTTAACATGACTGTATGCTCATACACTAGGTTGAAACTAAGTGCCACATTAAACACAAATGTTCAACTACTATTTACTCTCCGAATGATATTTACACGAGGAGTTATGCGATAGTATATTTGCTTTCAATTGTTCAATAAGCGTGTTTTCATGGGGCTATCAGAATTGTGTGAGATGCACTAGAGGTGAAGAGGTATTTTTGTAGGCCATAGTCCTAAATTCTGCTGTATGTAATAACGAGAAGAGAGACATAATCATCCAGTTGGCTTTACGATAAAAATCATACAAGCATTTCAAAACTGAACGACTGAAATATGTTGTATTTTCATATCCAGTAACGTTCAACTATATCTACTTACACACATGTTTAAAACACCTGACTATCATCTATTCGTCTTTGATTTACTACGTAAAATGAGGTTGATGCTGAAGTTTGCTCAAGCGTCTACTGAAAACGTCAACCAGGGTTTCTTCACTTCAGAAATAAAGCTACCCTACCAGCTGAAATCAAGAAAACTGAATAGCTTTTAGAAGTGCTAAGCCTAGGATCTAAGGATCAAATACGACTATTGAATTGTTTACACTCTATTTCATAGACTATCTCACTGATAACAAATTTGTCAGTGTCTGTGGCTTGGATATATGGAAATAACTTCCAACTACTGATACATGCATCTACTGTTTTCATTTCATCTAGCCAGTCTGACCACCAAGCCTAACGTTCCTTAGCTAATAGCTGTTTTATTTTTCGTGTAAGGGATTCAGATACATCACTGCACTCTCTGTTCGGCGCAAACCTGATTTCTTTCAAATGAGACAACTAAACTAGAGTGGGGGAATAAACATTTAGTATTTATAAAGGAGGATGCAACCAAAAAAGCAAACAAGACAAGCTTACTAAAGTAGACAGAAGTGAGCGAATCTAAACGTCACCCTTACAAATGCTGAAATAGCCAGTCAGGTTAGAGTACTTCTGCTGAAAGAGTAGTCTTATATAAAATAAAGAAACCTTACTAGCTACTTCAGTAGTTGCTAGGGTGACCTTTAAAGTCGGTAGATGGAAGTGGACCACAGCTTCTTTTTGAAGACAAGCAGTTGAAAAGATATCACTGGAATAAAATCGATCCGTTTTATCTTCCTCTCATTGTTATTCTTGCTTTCGGCAAATTCGTAAACAGGAGTTCCTACATGGTCTGTTTAACTCCAAGCTTGAATGGCAAGGACAGAAAGCCAAGTAACAAAAAGGCAAATTTGTTGCTAGTTGGATTATTATTTGCGAAAGGCTCCAAAAGATGATCCCCATCATCGAAAAATTCTCCTCTAAGTCTAGATGCCCGACCTATACACTGAAGCCCACAGCTAGCATTACAATATCTGTTGAGAGCAAGTGGTAGAGAAGCTCACTCAACCGGTGGTGGAAATCGTCATCAACTGCATCATTGCTGTAGTCATTAAGAGCATAGAGATAGACGACAAAGAGGGATAATTTGCCTTGACAGGTATTTTTTTACTTTATTCGAACCCTCTGGCCTAACAGCACAAAAGTAACTGTTGATGTATATCCAGCTGACTAGCTAAGCTTTCGCCCAAATACTTATGACATCAATACCAGCAAGCAAAATGATGATACTGCAAGGCTTATTGATAAGTGGATGACAAACCCATTTTTGAGTTGGCAGAAAGAGACGTTATCTGAAGAACTTCATTAAGATTTTATATCTGAAAAACTGAATTAATTGATAGCGATGCTTTCTACAGTCTTCAGTAAGCCTGGCTGTAATCCGATCTACTTCGAGTTCCGAAAGCTGAAGAATTTCATCTTAAACGCTGTGTTGTTTCTGAATGGTGCAATTCGACAGCTCACTGAAGTAAAGCTTTGCGGTAGCAAGCTTTTAGCAGAACAGCACCATATAAACTAATCAGTATTCCAATAAATGACAAGGATACACTTGAAGACAAATTAGGAAATGTCGAAATAAACAATGCAGCACATATGTGCAGACAACAATGACGATATAGTGACAATAGGCTAGATGATCCAGTATTAAGTCTTTGGACAATAAGTTAGGTTACTCGGGAAAAGATTTGATAAGCGTTTTGAAGTCTTCCCTGTTTATGGTTATCTGTGATTTGTACTAAAGCTATAATACTGCCTGAACGCCTGTACTGAAGCATTTGTATTAGAAGAGCACTCACCACCCACATATGACCGACGGAATCCGTGCATGGATGTAAAATGTTTCGATTACTACTTGTCAACCTACATCATCCTTGGTACCATAAAAATATCTGATTTTATGCTAAGTGTCAGATATGCTGCATAGCAGTTTGGTCTATCCTATTAAATGGCTGTATAGCGTAGCAACTAAAGATGGAGAACATGAGAAGGCTTCAGGCACTTGACCACTGTTGGCTTCATAGCTTAGACCGTGGGTTTTGAAACCAACAATTATTTAACGTGGAAGTTAGACTTAAAGTCTCAGCCAAAAGAGATAAGTCAGCTGGTGTAGTTATAAGTCTTAGTAGATTGAGGTAACTGAGACATGTGCTTTGCGTGACAGACTACATGAATCCAGGACAGGTTGGAAAGAACTTAAGGGTGAGACAAATCCATAAATTCTGTGACCGCTGGTTTCAGCTTTGTAAGAAAATATAAATTTACTGGCTGAAGACCATGTGAGAACCAGTATTGATGGTTAGAGACTCTGTAACATGTCACAAGATCGATCACAGTGCTTCAGATGTATCAACACCCTTTTTCTATCTTAATTGTTACTTGCTTTACTTCCTCTTCTCTTTTTATAGCATTATACTACTTTTGGCTTCATTACTTCTATTTATCTAGCCTCTATAATTTTATCTAGTTTCTTGATGTGCTGATGCGAAATGTTGCAGGTTAGACTGCTATAAACCGATTCCAGGTCCCATGAAGATACTCAGTGACGAAACGGAGTATGCAGTAACATAGCAAGTAGGTATTTTTAGATGATTTTTATCCTCTTGACCTTCAGTAGGCAGATAACTGAGATATTAGACTAGTCAGAATTGAGTGTAATGGTTAGGGTTTTCTTAAAACTCACCAATAAAAATTTTCTGTCTCGTTATTTTTTAATTTAACGGCAGACAGGAAAAAAGGAGAAGAACCCTAATTGAATACACACATTTAAAATACAGTTACGAAATAGCGAAATTATCAACATCTAAGAAAGTTAGATTATACCTGAAAGACAGAATTTAAAACTACAACAATCTGCTTTTCCCATTTTTCTTCATGAACTGCTGAAAAATTTCATAATACTTATAAGACAGCTAAGTAAGATATATTTACAAGAGTGGCAAATTTTCTTTGGTGCCCTTTTATCTCCTTATAAACTGTCGTACTGAGGTTATAGTCGACTTGGTGGCTAAAAGTGAAATCTAGGACGCGTATCTTCTCCTATTTGGGATTCGTCAACTGCAGATATCTGCCTCCCAATGGGTGATGTTATTCCAACTAAACTCTGGAACCTAAGACCAATCACTTCAAACATCTGAGCGTTATCTACTAGGTCACTGAAAGACGAGACTCAGAAATTGTGCTATGCGTATCGGTTGTTTAGTGATATTTATAATTTCTCGCTGCTATACTGTGTTGAATTTCTTGACCTCTGTTGGCCGATGGGCTCCTTTGCGGAGACCTCAATACTGCATGGATATCCACTATAATGTAGTATGCCTGTGCGAAAGATTCTTAAGCCGACAAGAATATCCTTCAGTATGATTTAATTTGTCATAAAACGTCTATATTGATGCTTATTCATTACCTAAGTGACTTATAGAAGTAATTGGAGAAGGAAAATCCATAACAGCTCCTTCTTAAATCGTCTAGT